AAAAAAAAAAAAGAAAGAAATGTACCAACATCCAGGCACAGTGGCTCATACCTGTAATCCCAGCACTTTGGGAGGCTGAGGTAGAATGATCACTTGAGGCCAGGAGTTTGAGACCAGCCTGAGTAACAGAGCAAGACCCTGCCTCTATAAAAGGTACAAAAGGTAGTCAGGTGCAGTGACTCACACTTGTAATTCAGCAACTCGGGAGGCTGAAGCAGGAGGATCACTGTGCCCAGGAATTTGGGTTTGCAGTGCACAATGACCGCACCACTGCACTCTACCCAGGGTAAGTTTAAAAATTTTAAGGAATTAAAATTTAAAAAATAAAAAAGCAAAACTGTACAAACTTTCAGTTCACTAGCTGTACCAAAAAGAAGCTACTCTTGTCTTTTTACCTATGGTCTATAGAGGGTCAAGTCCTGCTATGAGCAATAGGGAAACAGGATACGGTTGAAATAGGAGATGAACAATGTCAGAGCTGTGCTTCATGCAGACCATTGGCAGCTGATAGGAAAATGAGCTCTGCCATTCTAGAAGGACAAGGACCAGTCTCTGTTGCTCCTCCCTGTACCCAGGGGCCTGTGTGTTAGTCTGCTCAGGCTACAAAATACCACAGACTTCCATGACATGCATTTATATCTCAGAGTTCTAGAGGCCAGAGGCTGAGCTCAAGGTGCTGGCAAGGTAGATTTCACTCCCAGGCCTGTTCTCTTGGCTTATAGATAGCCACCATATCCTTCTGTGCTCCCCTGACCTCTTCTTTGTGGGCATCTGGAGACAGTGTGAGCGAGAGAGCTGTCCGGTATCTCTTCCTGTAGGATACCGATCCTGTTGGATCTGAAGACATTACTGATCAACACACAGAGGGGGTGCTGTGAGCATAGTGGGTGGAGGCTGGAGATACTGCTGGACATCCTACAGCACACAGGTTGTCCCTCAGATGTCAATAGTGCCAAGGCTGAGAGCCCCTGCCGAGGTGAATGGATGACTGGAAGCCTGGGATTGGAGACAGAGAACTTAGAAGGTGCTGTTAACGCCTGTTAAGAAACAAGAAAGGGGGTGGCAGGTGGGCCAGGGCAGGGCCGCAAGCAGTATGGAGGAGGTGGAGGCCACTGCGAGTTAGGCCGAGGGGTGCAGGCCCTGAGTGGGGCCCATGACCTCTGAGCCATCCCCTCAGATTCCTGACATCATGGGCTGGCCTGAACTCTGGTGATACCCCTTCCACCAATCCGGCATGGATGACTGGAAGCTCAGCCTCCTAATCAAGCCCTTAGGGGCCTGGAAGTAACGAATCTGATATCTTACCTGAAGTATAAACTGACAAACCAGAGAGCCCTGCAGAGATTCTGTCAGACAGGGGCCATGCTTTTCCTGCTGCGGACTGTCATTGTCAGCATTAATTTGATCCTGGACCCTCTGTGAACAATCAGCAAAGCCCATGAAGACCCAGAGCCAAAATAAAACTATGATGAGGTCCAAGGCCATCTAAGAGCCCCCATGGCAAAGAGGCAGTGGTCCTTGGTGGGTGCTGGATGTGGAAGTGTACTCAAGCTGCAGCAAAGTATATGTGGCAGGATGGTACCATGGTGCTGGATGATATCGAGGCCTAGGAGGAGGAATCCATGTCATTGTCCTCAACCAGGCCATGGGCCA